AATTTTGAAATTTTATCGCGTGCCTTTTTCTTTTCCTCTCATCTCAGAATTTTAAGATGAAGGAAATAATAACTCTCTCTAGTTTGATATTTAGTTTATCCGTGTCTTAATGAATTTTAATAACTAATATCAGATTCGAATATACATAATCACTAAAAATTAATTATTGAAAGAGGTTAATACCTAATGAGATATATATATATATATATATATATATATAAAGATCGCATTTAAACTTAAAAAAATGTTTAATTTTTAATATATTTGATCGTTAATCGATTAATCATTACTTTAGAATTAGATTATAAATAATTATTAACTATTTAGAATATTTGATCGATCGTAATCTTTCTTTAGTAATTTCAAAGATATACGATTTAAAAATAAAATAAGAGAAAATGAGACAAAAGTTACAAGAGGCAAGGAAAGCATTTCAAGATATTGTCTATATATCTTCAGGCACCTGCTTATACAGATATGTTTAACTTCGAAAAGAATCCGAGTATCTCTCGTCATTTTCCTTCTTTCAGTGCATTGAAAATACGAGAAAAAGCCAGCACAGAAAAAGTATACGGTTACCAAAATGAAGCCGCGTATCCTTAATGATACGCCATGAAAAGTCGCGAATTTCTGACCGTGAGAAGGATGTATCGCATACTATTTGCATTACAATCACACGACCGCAAGAATATTTACTAATTCCCGTTGTGTAGAGAATAGAGATAACGTCGGCATGGTCGGACGACGTTTTCACAGAACAAAAGAGGAAGCGAGAGAGAAAGAGAAAAAGAGATAAATGAGGATAACGTGGAAGTGGAGAACGTAGGAAGAAGATAAAGAGAGGTATGACGCAAGTCGAGCGAAAACACACAGAGGAAGTCTAAGAAGAAGGAAAGAGCTGATGAAGAGATAGAGAGAATGAGACAGAGATTGCCCGAGTTCTCTCTTCACCGAAGATAGTGACTACCAATTCCCTTATACCCATCACCCACGAAAAGAGTATTTAAACGTCAGAGTGCTGACATCGTGGCGGTGTGGGTGCGAGACGAAGCAGAAAAGACGCATAGATGAGAAGAAAACGAAGAAGAAGAGACGAAGAAAGAGAAGAAGGTGGACGCGGCTCGAGGGTTTGTAACGGGCGACGAAGAGATGGAAAAAGAAAAGAAAAGAGGGAAAGAGAGAAAGAAGCGTTGGGAACGGTAGGGGGATGCTTTAAGACGCTCAATATAAATACTAGAGGGGGTTGAGAAAAAGGGTTGCTTCCCTTCGGGCCGACGACGCCGGCCGGAGCGTGTACGGTCTTCGGGATGGTGAGGAGGTAAGAGAGATTCAACGATGAGGAGGAAAAGCGGGCGCGCGAGAAAACGAGAAGACGAAAGTCCATCGGAGGGAGGTGGAAGGAAAAGCGCGGCGGAAGAAAGACGGGAGGACGGAGGAAGGTTACGCGGTGGAAAGGTGGTGGATCGAGGAGGGTCGAGGACGGGTGGGTAGCAGCGTCGAAGGGCTGCCAGGGTGGCAGTACCGGGGGGAGAAGAAGGAGAGTGGTAAGACGCGAGAGGGGCAGAGGCGAGGGCCTACGGGGCTGGAAAACTCACCCCTTTTCTTGCTTACCCTCGCTCGCTGTTTAATTGCATCTTACTTTCGAATTTTCCGCGTAGAGCTATCGATCGAGACACGCGAAAGGGGGTTCGTTTGCGTCTTATCTCCGACGGCCCTCGTCGTCTACTCTCCGCTCTTTATCCCCCGTCTTTCCTCCCCCTCTCCCCCGCTTTTTCTCTTCGTTTCTCTCCTGGTCGGCCTCCTCGCACGACCCTGTCCTCTCTTTCTCTTTCTCTCTTTCTCCCGCGCGCACGTTTTCTTTCTCTCTCCCTGCTGTCTCTACCCCCTTCGTCCTCGACTACCTCATCCACCTCACCCACATCAACCCCATTCGCCGAGAGAGCGAGAGCGTGAGAGAGCACCCCATGCTCCGACCGGGCGCCCACCCCTCGACGGACTATTTAAAACTACACATAGCCAATGCATAAGACGACGGACTGGCTCGACTCAGGGCCGACGAGTTCGTCGTGAGTTTGTTTTCTGATTTCTGTATCACATTTGCGTAATGCGTATGATATAGATGCATAAAAACACTCAACATAATACTATTGTTCAGTTTTGCAAATATCCATTTTCTAATAATAGTCTTTATTCTGCGTGACAATATCCTATAATGGAAAAGAAAGAAGATATATATAGAAAACATAAGGTATACTAATTATATATAATTATTATTTTCTCATCTATGTTATTTATCCTTATTTTAAATATTTTGCTCTAAAAAGAATATATTTTTTAAAATTAATGTTTTATATATACAAAATTTTTTCATAATAATTACATTATATGCACAAGCTTATGTGTATTATTTATTTTCCATGCTAAACTTCTATGTTAATTTGAAAATAGACATTATAGAAACACATTGACTGTAACTATAATTTTATTATCCGATTAATTTTATTTTAAATTCAGATTAATTTTATTTCATTTAAGACCTGCAATGATATTTACCAGTGACAAAGTAACTTAATCGTACTATCTTGAACCCAATGCAAATTACGATATCTTTTAGCGACGTGAATAGTCGATGACGAATAATTAATCTGAATACAGAATATACATTTATGAAAATTGCGTAGAAACATACCATGATCTACGTATTCTTTTTTCTTCACAAAACGACTTCGACACCTTTCTCAGTCATTAACAAACATAATCACCGTGCATACGAGTGTTCGTCCGTCACGCTCGCAAGGCCAACTAACACTCTTCGTGGAAAGATAGCAATCGACAATTGTTGTCCTTCTATTTCTCTTTATCTTGCGGCCCACAATTTCATTGTGCGGCCAAAAAAAAAAGAATTGGAAAGATCTAAGACGTGAAACACGCCGCGCGATATTGCGAGGGAGAGATTCGCATCCGAGAAATCGTCTCGAAGAACGAGTCCGGGATTTAACGAGCGGCGAAGGCGCCCGATGTTATTTTCGCCCCTTAGATTTTTAATCAATCCGTCACTGGTAGGGTAGAGACGGGGGTGGTTTCTTCCTTAGTTCCCTTCCTCGCTTCGTATTTAAAACCTCGGGGCTGATGAACGCTCCTCATGCCAAGCAGCCTGCCGCCTCCTTCGAACCCCCGATCCGCCGCCCGCCCCATTTCTGCCTTCGGCCGACCCCCCTGCCGCCTCTACACTACCCCGCGCTCCTACCAGGGATTTCCATCCCCCGGAAACTCACGCACGCATACGTACTCAAGCGCAGATATCCAGACAGAGTACATACAGAGACACAAGAGAGAAAGAGAGAAAAAAGAGAGAGTGAGAGACTATCCCTCGATTCCACTCGAAGAGCAAAGAACGGAATGAAAGTAAGGGATGGAGATTTCGTAAGCAACGCATCACGTGCAGGTTTGTCCTGTGCTATTACCTTTTCCGCGTTGTATTATGGCTCGGGTAGAATAGCGTGTTACGGACACTTACGGCGTGGTACACGTGAGCGTTACGTGAGCGTCGGAAAAGGGTGGCTAGGAAGGGGGAGGTAGCAGGAGTGATACACGTGTCTTGTACTAAAAGTTATATTTTGTTTTAACACGTGGATTTTGATGGCTCGCTTTTACGCGCGATTTGCATGCATGATAACTAAAACACAAATCGCACTGCAATTCATAAAGACAATTCATAAATATATATATATATATATATATACAGATTGTATATATTTATTTTTACCCAGGTATAAAAATTTATCATTCGCTATAATCAAACGTGAGAAATCTGTCAGATTTTCAAATCTGTCAATCTCTCTTTAACAGTTATCTCTTTTTAAATATAACTTTAATTATTAATATACTTAATGTTATTATAATTCCGAATTCAAGGTCATTAATAAGAACGATGTGACAATCAATACAAATCAATCCTGGAATAAAAAGATGGATTGCTCCACGCTCAGAGATATGTTCGCCTCATTTGTCTTTATGAAGTTAAGACAATTTATCTTTCGAATAATTTGTCCGCTTGTAATGAGTCGCACATCCGTTTTACGTGTGTCGGGTTATTATATATAGTCGCGGTCGAAAAATTGTTCAAAAATGATCAACGTGTTTTACGTACTGCCCATATCGATATAAAGATCAGCGGCACATTATCACGATCGAGATGACGTGGTGGTCGAGACACGACAGTGGCTTAGATTTTTAACAAGTACAACAATGGGCACACGCGAATGTCACTGCTAGCGTTTGTCGTGTCCCGATGCTCGCGTGTAATTTCATCCCCCTTTCGATTACGTTCGCGAACCCCACGTAGCGTTCCAGCGTTACACACCCAGCGTATATACACACTATTAACCTCACCGCCGACTTCGATTTCCTAACAAAGCACTTCGCGCGTCGACTGAAACTTCTCCACCTTCAGAAAAGTGTGGAGCGATTGCGATAAAGTTGATTCGTTTCGGTGTATATTTGAAGCTTCGAGAACGGCCGCACGTCTAAAAGAACACAAAAGGAACGAGAGGCAAAAGATTTTAAAAATCCACGTGAGCAATTTGTTAATTATTCGTATATTATAACGAAAATTTTCTCTAGAAGCAAAAATTTACAATAAGATTGATAACTTTACGTTATATAATCTTTCTTATAACATAGTTCGTTTTAATGAGGATTATTAATGAGGATATATCGTCCGGTTATTAATGAGGATTTTAATTAATATTTTGCAAATTTTTATTAAAATTACATTAAAAAGAAAAATCTTTACGTTATAAAAGTATAATATCGTGTGAGATTTATTAGAATCGACAATTGTCAAGAGCAATTAATATCACGATCGTGTGTAACTTTGATCATCATTTAAATAACAATCTTAACTTGTGTGAGAATAGCAAGAACGAACGAGGCGCGTTGAAACGTAAAAACAAGTTGTCGACTTGCAGGAGCATGCGTATTGTTCATAGGCAACTTACGACGTGAGATCCCAAGATTTCCTTGATACAGACAATAAGGCCGAAGAGATGTGAATTGCTGATGCATGACAGAGACCGCAGTCCACATCCGGCATCATCGACCGGCCACGGTAGTCTTATCCTTCATCTCCGTTCATCTGCTCACCTTCCGATGGTTATACCAATGAAATCTTCCTTCTTTCTTCTTCCTTCTTTTCCCACGTCTTTGTCTTAAACATCGTCATCAAACATGGCACTACATCCATACTACTTTATATATATTCAATTCATGTTATGTTTAATTATATAAGACCGTTTTATTTTCAAAAATGTTTATACAATCTAGAACATACTATATTTTATATAGATATTAATAAATAAATTTTAATAAATTATAAAAAAATTGAAATATTTAATTTTTCAAAATTTTTTTAAATTAAAATATTTGTGGTACTTGATATACTTATAACGACTTACATAAACATTGTGATAAATACGATATTCCGGGCAGGTTCGTTTTACGTAAGGTCATTGCGACAGATTTGCTATAAACGTAAGGGGGTGGACTGGTGGAGTACGGGAAGAAGGAGGAAAGGAGAAAATAGGTGCAGTTTATGGGCATTCGACGAACGACAAGCTCGAGTAACGACGGCGCTCGTGTAATTCCTTGCCCACAAGACGCAAAGAAAAGTGTCACGACGAGAAAGTTGCCTTTTCCTAAAAACACTTGAAAACTCCGGATACCGGTGCGGGCCGAAGGGTACACTTTAAGTCCTCGTACGAAGTTCGGGAAGCTCGCCGAGCTCGGGCGAACCAGTAAATAACAAATAAAATCAACGGGAGACGCTGGTTCGCGGGAATCAGAAGTGGAAAACATCACTGTCTGCTTTTTTGTGGTCTCACACGTCGGAAGCTGTGTTGTAATCGCATGTAGGATCGAGGTGAGGGTATGCGTGCGGCCTGTACGCGGGGATGTAGCGGAGTTAGAGCCGGAGTTAGAAAGATCCACGAGAAAGGGGCATACTCTTACGGGACGTGTACCATAAACGCGACGAGAGGAAAAAAGGAAGGAGCGAAGATTTATGTCATACTCGAGTGGTTAGTTGTAGCCGAACGGCGCGCTTTACCGCGCTCTACTGGGCACCGCTGGGCTCCACTTCCCTGGAACAAGGAGGGCCTCCGGTTAAATCCGAAGGCGAATAGCGCTGCTCATAACGGCAGCCAAGTTGCCGCCGTTCGCCGATATCATACACGATAATATTACTCGCAATATTATCCTCGGCTTCCATGTACGCGTTGAGACGCATTGACGCGTATATCCTGGTGTATTCTGCTGGAATACGTGCTTTCGTCATTTGTCTTGCGTTTTACCACGCATCAACACGTACGTAAAAAGACCAGATACCGCGCCAGATAGATCGCCATGCTAGTGTCACTTTCCGTAGGAGTAATGTGAATTAGAGTCAAATGAGTATACGTGGAATGATTTGCGATTATGTGTGTTGAAATAGAATATTTGTCGTATTCAAAAAGAAGGAAAAAAGATATAACTGTGCGACATTCGTAATCGTTCGATATTTTTTAATGCAATTACTGTCTGAAAGTAACATATTCCGATGAAGTGTCTATCTATAGACAGATTGATTCGAATTCGGTCTTCTTCTTTACGCTTTTGTGGTAGACGTACGTAGAATTAGATCGCGAAAATACGGAAGCGTAAAATACGCATATTAAATAAAGTCGCAAAACGGTCCTGCCTGAAGGAGCGAATTGCGTTGGAACCAGGCGACAAGCGTATTTCCGTATCAGCAAATCAAATAACGTGCGCCACCGCAGCGGTGTGGATAAGATAAGGCGAAAATATCGATTAGAAATAAGATTTAACTCGATCAGCTCTGTACAATAATTTCTTGATGAATATTTAACGAAGTGCCTCGACATGCGCTACTTTCCTATTCTCAACTCAAAACTCGATGCTGTTTGGTATCCCAGTTCTTTCTCTACGTCTCATATCAAATATATATTATATGTTAAATAGCTTCTCGACATCCAGTATATCCAGTATGATTCGTAACACGCAAATATTAGTCACAATCGTAATTAAGATAACGAGACGAGAAAAAATATTCTGATGACGTTTCAAAAATATACACGCCATGACAAGTAATTATCTTGCAACGCTTCCTAAAATAACGGGAGAAAAAAAAGAATATATTATTTTCTCCAATTTTTAAGAATCTCCTTAAATATCTGTTAATTAATATAAACTAACTTTAAATGTGAAATAAACATACAAAATAGCGAAGAGTAACAATCACTTAGAACGTCTGGATTGTGGAAAATACTTAATTTGTAAAATTTATAAGCAATAAATAAATAAAATACACTAAATACATTATGACAAAAGATATTGACAGAGGTATAAGTTGCTAGGTTGCCGAGTATTGTAACATTTTGTAGCGAACGAGCGAAGAACGAAAGCCGTTCTGCCCGGAGCTTAGCCCAAATCCGCGCGATCGTCCGAGAGAAACGAGAGAGAAAGAGTATCCTTCGCACCACCTTCCCGCGAGAGGATCCATCGTCGCCTCATTTGCGCCATGTATCGGCGGCCGCACATCTTCAACGCCCTATGTATAACAACCATGTACAGCGCCGGGCGGCGTAATCATCTCCTCGGCGACTGCTATTAACGGACAGCCTGGCGCTATAGAGCGGGATCGCGCAAAACAATACGGTGGACCGGGATTTCGACAATGCGGATCCACGGATCGCCGCGAATTCGGAAGCGTTGACCTGGGGACTCCGCCGAGCCTGGCAGCTTTCCGGGTGATCACCCGGTATGGACACACTTACGAGCATCCACACTTGTTCCCGGGGCGAGAGGCGAGTCCGTATGAGAATACACCACGATACATTCGAGAGTGTGGTGAGTGCGCGAACGGGTGGAGGAACAAGCGGAAGAGGAAGAGAGTGTCGGAGGTAGCGATAGTGAGTAAGAGGGTGTACGTGTATATGTGAGAGAGAGAGAGAGAGAGAGAGAGAGAGAGAGAGAGAGAGAGAGAGAGAGAGAGAGAGAGAGAGAGAGAGAGAGAGAGGGAGGGAGTGACGACGACGTACGGTACGGTACGTACGGTCGTTACGTCGTCGTCGTCGTCGTCGTCGTCGGCGGCGTACGTACGTACGTACGTACGTACGTAGTATTCGTACTACTCGTCGTCCGTCTCCTCCTCCGTCCTCCGTCCGTACGACCGACACCGACCGACCCCGTACCGACCCGTCCGTTTACCCTACGTTCGTTAGGTAGGGTAGTTAAGGTAACGGTTAGGGTACTTACGGTTATTACGTTAGTACGTACGTTACGTACGTACGTACGGTCGGTACGGTACGGTACGGTACGGTACGGTACGGACGGTACGGACGGACCGACCGGACCGGTACCGTACGTACGTTACCGTACGTACCGTACGGTACCGTACCCGTCCCGTTACCGTACCGTACCGTACGTACGTACGTACCGTACGTACGTACGTACGTACGTAGTACGTAGAGTAGAGACGAGTAGAGTAGAGTACGTACGTACGTACGTACGTAACGTAAGTAGTAACGTAAGTAGTACGTAGTAGTAGTAGTAGAGAGAGAGTAGAGAGTAGAGAGTAGTAGTAGAGTGAGAGAGAGAGTGAGAGAGAGAGAGAGGGGAAAAGGGAAAGAGAAAGGGGGTGTGCGCGATGGGATGGATGCTGCACAGTACGCGGACGGTCTTAGCGGTATCTTGGCTCCCTCGCTGTCCTGGGGGCGAGCGGCTAAATACCTCAGGATTGTTACTATTGCCACCCCTTTGCGCCCTCCTCCTCCTTCGCCAGACCAGCAGCCACCCACTCCGGCTCCTTTTGATAGGGTGGAATGGGTTAATGCTATTGATTCACGTGCACAAGGTGCTTGGGCAGAGGCAGCAGCGACGACCGCCACTGTTTGACAGTAACGGATCTCCCTCCCCTTCACGAGGGATATCTACACGAGATGCGGCTATTGACTCTATCGTGCTTTCTTCCTGGATCGAGAAAAAAACTAGATACTGAACTATCATGCGAAACGCTCCATGGAGATACTCGGGAAATCTGGAATTTCGATCTCTTCTGATATTCTGTCTAATATTAAAATATAATAATACAACTTTTAAAAAAGAAATTAAGTAAGATTTATAGTTGCCAAATCTTTTGTCAAAGTTTTGATACAAAAATACAATACACAATTATAATAATTAATATATCACGCGGTTTATTATTTTTTATGATATGAATAAAGTTAAAGAATTTAATTGCATTATAAATTATGTTATATTTAATAATAATAAACACGCACACAAAATTGTAGCTTATATTATTATAAGTTATGCAATGCTATACATGCTCATAATTAAAGTTCGTTCGCCAATTTGAAACATGCAGAAACGATAAATCGTACAAGCGTATTAAATATTCAAATATCACCAAGGATGTTTCCGATTCGCATTCTCTTCTGTTACTCTTCAGCTTGTCCTCACCGGTTGCTTATCTCCGAAATATTACTCAGCGCAATGTCCGATGATTTTGATGAATCTCGTGAGATCAATCGCATTATAATGATTGGCAAAATTGATAAGAATACTAATATTAAATTTTTTGTATAACTTTAATTAGCAATTGATACATAGCGATCAAGAAAAACTATAGAAAAGAACACGTCGGTCATATGTATTAAATTAATGAGTAATTAATACATCAATTAATAAATATATTGCATTTTTTCTCTTTGTCTATCATGTTCTTATGTAATCGATAATATGTTCCCGTAAAAATATCTACACGCCATGTATACGGGAGGGAAAGGATGTCTATATAATCGGTAAACTCTGTGGTTTCGCAAAGCACGCGGTATTACAGATAATGCCATAAAGAACTGTACAATAATGAACTGTAAGAAAGTTGTATAAT